TGGGACCAATGTTCTAGCGAAAAGGGTAAATAAGCTGGTCAACAGGACTTTAAACTAGGAAAAGGGTAGCAAGGGAAGGGTAAAACTTACCCCAGTAGGAAACAAAGCAGTGGGTTAACATTTTTAGGGGGGATTCAACTGTGTAGAAAAATATGAAATAAATGACAGGAAAGGAGAACTCAGGAGAGGTTATTAAACTCCCAGCACAGACATAAATAGGACAGAGTGTTTGAAGGTGTTATATCTGAATGCATGCAGTATAAGGAATAAGGTAAATGAGCTTGTGGTGCAAATCGAATTGGCAGATATGATGTGGTGGGCATCACGAAAACATGGCTGCTAGGGGATCATGATCGGGAGCCGAATATCCAAGGATATACATCCTATCGAAAAGATAGATAGGCGGGCAAAGGATTTGGGGTTGCCTTATTAGTAAGAAATGAAATTAACTCAATAGTAATATTAATAGTAATATATTAAATCAATAGCCAAGCAGATTGTACACCATCTGACCCTACTTTAGGGTCAGATGGTGTACAATCTGTGTGGCTAGAATTGAGGAACTGCCAAAGGTAAAAAAACCAGAGTTGGAGTTAAGTACAGATGTCCAAACAGTAGTCAGGAACTGGGGCGCAAGATACACCAGGAGCTAAAAAAGGTGTGTAAGAAAAGCAAAGTCACAGTGATCATGGGAGATTGCAATATGCAGGTGGACTGGGATAATCAGGTTGGTAGTGGATTGCAAGAAAAGGAATTTGTGGAATGTCTACGAGATGGCTTTTTGGAGCAGCTTGTCATGAAACCCACTAGGGAACAGGCAACACTGGATTTAATGATGTACAATGAGACAGACTCGATAAGGGAGCTTAAGGTGAAGGAACACTTCCAGGGCAGTGATCATCATACGATTGAATTTACTCTGAAGTTTGAGAGGGAGAAGATAGAATCAGAGGTAATGGTATTACAGCTGAATAAAGGCAACTACAGAGGCATGAGGGAGGAGCTGGGCAGGAAAGACAGTGGAACAGCATTGGCAGAAGTTTCTGGGAGTAATTCAGGAGACACAGCAAAACTTCATCCCTAGGAAAAAGAAGCATACCAAAGGAAGGATGAGACAACCATGGCTGACGAGGGAAGTCAGGGACAGCATAAAAGCAAAAGAGAAATCATATAATGTGGTGAAGAGCTGTGGGAAGCCAAAGGATTGGGAAGCTTACAAAAACCAATAGAGGGCACAAAAAAAAAGAAATAAGGACAGAGAAGATTAAATATGAAGGTAAGCTAGCCAGTAATATAAAGGAAGACTGTAGGAGTGTCTTTAGATATAGAAAGGGCAAAAGAGAGGCAAAAGTGGACATTGGACTGCTGGAAAATGATGGTGGAGAGATAATAGTAGGGAACAAGGAAATGGCTGAGGAACTGAATAATTACTTTGCATCAGTCTTCACAGCGGAAGACATGAATAATCTCCCAAAAATTCAAGAGAAAGTAAGGGGGCAGAGCTGTGTGTGGTGGCCATCACCAAGGAGAAGGTGCTAGAAAAACTGAATGGCCTGAAGGTGGATAAATCGCTAGCACCAGATGGACTACACCCCAGAGTTCTTAAGGAGAAAGCTGAAGAGATAGCGGTGATCTTTCAGGAATCGCTAGAGTCAGCAAGGGTCCCAGAGGACTGGAAAATTGCTAACATGACACCCCTGTTTAAAAAAGGAGTAAGGCAAAAGATGGAAAATTACAGGCCAATTAGCCTAACCTCAGTCATGGGTAAGATTTTAGATTCCATTGTGAAGGAGGAGATTTCTGAATACTTGGAAGTGCATGGTAAAGTAGGGCAAAGTCAGCACGGCTTCATCAAGGGGAGGTCTTGCCTGACGAATCTGCTAGAATTATTTGAGGAAGTAACAAGCAGGTTAGACCAAGGAGAGCCAATGGATGTTATCTACTTGGACTTCAAGAATGCCTTTGACAAGGTGCCGTACAGGAGGCTCCTGAGTACGATACGGGCCCATGGTGTTAGAGGCACGGTGCTAGCATGGATAGAAGATTGGCTGTCTGGCAGAAAACAGAGAGTGGGGTTAAACGTGTCCTTCTTAGGATGGCAGCCAGTGACAAGTGGTGTTCCGCAACAGTCAGTGCTGGGATCACAACTTTTCATTTTATACATTAATGACCTAGATGAGGGAACTGCGGGCAGTCTGACTACGTTTGCAGATAATACAAAGATACGTAGAGGGACAGTAGTGTTGAGGATGGAGGAAGCTGCGGAAGGATTTGGACAGGTTAGGAGAGTGAGCGCAGAATTAGCAGATGGAGTACAATGTGGGAAAGTGTGAGGTTATGCACTGTGGTAAGAAGAATAGAGGCATGGACTATTTTCTAAATGGGGAGAAAATTCAGAAAGCTGAAGTGCAAAGAGACTTGGGAGTCCTCATCCAGGATTCTTTCAAGGTAAGCTTGCAGGTTGAGTCAGTATTTAGGAAGGCAAATGCAATGTTGGCATTTATTTTGAAAGGACTTGAATATAAAAGCAAGGATGTACTTCTGGGGCTCTTTAAGGCTCTGGTCAGTCCACATTTGGAGTATTGTGCGCAGTTTTGGGCCCCATATCTCGGGAAGGATGTATTGGCCCTGGAGTGGGTTCAGAGGAGATTCACAAGAATGGTTCCAGGAATGAAAAGTTTAACATATGAGGAATGTTTGAGGACTCCGGGTCTATGCTTGATGGAGTTTAGAAAGATGAGAGGAGATCTAATTGAAACTTACAGAATACTGAATGGCCTGGATACAGTGGTTGTTGGGAAGATATTTTCATTAGTAGGAGAGACTAGGACCTGAGGGCACAGTCTTAGAGTAAAGGGAAGACCTTTCAGAACAAAGATAATACGAAACTTCTTCAGCCAGAGAGTGGTGAATCTATGGAACTCACTGCCCCAGAAGGCTGTGGAGGCCAGGTCATTGAGTATATTTAAGACAGAGTTAGATAGGTTCTTGATTGTCAAGGGGATCAAGGGTTATGAGGAGATAGCAAGAGAATGAGGTTGAGAAACTTATCAGTCATGATTGAATGGTGGAGCAGACTCGATGGGCTGAATGGCCTAATTTCTGCTCCTATGTTTTATGGTCTTATGGCTTACACATTGAACTGTACCCGATATACAAACCACTGAAAAACAGAACCGGAAGTGATGCCAACCACCCCAGCAAACCGAGGCATATAAATAACAAGTGGGACAGAACACCAACGCTTCACTGGAGGCGCACTGACGATGTTACCTAGCAGGGTGACGAAATGTCTGCAATCAAACACACTGGCTTGGCGAGCAAGTCTACAACCACAAACTTTATTTACCTTGTTCTGACATCTCAAGGGATCAGTCACATGCATACCAAGGTACCTCTGATCCTCAGTGCTCCCCAAGGTTCACCATTCATCATTTATTCCTTGCATTGTTTGTCTGCCCAAGGGCATCACCTCATATTTATCTGGATTGCATTCTATTTGCCACTGATCAGCCCATCTCACCAGACAATCTATTTCCTCCTATAATCTAATGTTATCCTCCTCACTATTTACCATCCCACCAAATTTTGTATCATCTGTGAACTTATTGATGAACCCTCCTACATTAACGTCTAAATCATTTATGTAAATCTCAAACAGCAAGGGCCCTGGTACTGACCCCTGTGGGATCCCATTGGACACAGGCTTCCAGCCAGAAAAACATCCCTCAATCATCACCCTCTAATTCCTTTCACTCAGTGAATTGTGGATCTAATTTGCCAAAATTTCCCTGAATCCCATGGATTCTTACTTTTTCTATCAGTCTCCCATGCAGAACCTTATCAAAAGCCTTGCTGAAGAGTACAATAAAAGTATTACACTCATCTATATACCTCTTCAAAAAAATTCAGTCAAGTTGGTCAGACCAGTATTGCAGGACCACGATAATTATCATCAAGATCCAATATCATATGAACTGCAGCAGTTCATGGGGGCATCTCACCACCACCTTCTCAAGGGCACATAGGAACTGCTAGTAAATTCTGGCTCAACCAGCGATGCCCAAATCCCATGATTGCACTGAGATAATGACTATGATCCTGGACCTGGGCTATAGGTTCCTATTGTACAGATTATCACTGTAGTGCTGAGCTTCAGGTTCCACCAGCACCAGTCACAATGCTGGTCCTGGGATATAGGTTGTATATAGGCATAGGCTATGATCCCAGTCCACGGTTAGTGGCCATAGGGACAGGCTGCAATCCTGGTTCTGGGGCAAAGACTCCATTTGCACAGGCTATGCTCCTGGTCCTGGTCTACAGATTCCCATAGCTACAGGCTATAATCCTGGTCCTGGGTTATGGGTTTCATAGTCGCAGGCTATCAGCCTGGTCATTGGCTATAGGTTCCACTAGTACCAATGATAATCCTTGTCCTGCGATACTGGTCAGAGAGTCATAGAATCGTACAGCATAGAAACAGACCCTTCAGTCCAAATAGTCCACACTGACCCATGCTCCCAAACTAAACTAATCTCACCTGCCTGCATTTGGGCCCATATTGCTCCAAACCTTTCCTATTCATCTACTTATCCAAATGTCCTTTAAGCTTTGTAATTGTACCTGCATCTACCAATTCCTCTGGCAGTTCATTCCAAAGGTTCTATAGGCACAGGCTATAATCCTGTTTTGGAGCAAAAGTATTCACAAGTGCATGCAACCTGCCTGAATCTGGGATATGGGTTATAGGCTATGATCATAGTTCTGGGCAACAGGTTCCACAGACACAGATTGTCATCCATGTCCAGGACTAAAGGATCCATAGACACACGATCTCATCTTGGCACTAGGATATAAGTTCTGTGATTACAACCTTAACATGTTCTCTACAACACAGCCTCAACATCTAGGGCAAGAAGAAATAGTGGCGTGAGAAGTTTCTGATTGCTGTAAAATGGTGCGAGAATGACTTAAGAATTTTATCTGGTCTTGTTTCGCAGATTGCAAAACCAATCACAGTCCCAGATGATTCTTGATGTAGTTCAGAAAACTATTCAATCCTATCCTTTTCGTTTTCATGAGGCTTGGATTCTCACAGGAGCACAGGAGGGAGCCTTTGGGTGGATCACTGTGAACTATCTTCTGAGGTCCTTCCTCCAGGTGGGAAACTGGATACGTGATGCATATGTATGATATAAGCTCACAGAACAGGGATGACTGAGACACAGAGCTCTACAGCATAGAGCCAGCCGGACTCTGTGCCAGTCAAAAACAGCCGCATAACTATTCTAATCCCATTTTCCAGTGATGCCAAATCTCACAATTGCACTGAAGTAATGACTATGATCCTGGTCCAGGGCTATAGGTTCCTATTATACAGATTATCATCTTAGTGCTGAGCTTCAGGTTCCACCAGCACCAGCACCAGTCATAATGCTAAATCTGGGGTATAGGTTGTATATAGGCATAGGATCCTGGTCCATAGTTAGTTGCCATAAGGACAGGCTGTAATCCTGGTTCTGGGGCAAAGGTTCCATTTGCACAGGCTATGCTCCTGGTTCTGGTCTACAGATTCCATAGCCTTGTATGCCATGGCATTGCAAATGCACATCTGTATACTTCTTAAATGTTATGAGGGTTTCTACCTCTACCACTCTTTCCAGGTTCCCACCATTCTTTGAGTGAAAAAAATTTTCATCACATCTCTTCTAAACCTCCTCCCCCAACATTAAAAATATGCCCTGGGTCATTGATTCCTCCACAATGGAGAAACGATTCCTTCCTATCT